AAAAAAAATGAATGCCTTTTAGAGCGGAAGGAAAAGAGCGAGTAAAATGTTTAAAAATAAGAAAAGAAAACACGATAATAAGGTGACGCGAGGAAGGTTATTTGAAAGCGATGTACGTGAATTGTGATGTGGAGAAAATGATACAGAATAAAAAGGAGAAAAAGAAACATGAAAGAACATCTAAACATGTATTCTCTGCGCGAAGTAATGTACGCAAAGGGAGTAACCAAATAAAGGCATTGCAAACGCTGAAGTTGTATATTATTTATAATTCCAATTCAGACATTTGTTTATGATAAAAAGATTGTTCATTTTGTAGATATTTTTATCCATTATCTTCTTTTCGTTTTTATTTGATATTAAATAGCAACAAGCATTGATATCGAGGTATAGCATACCTGTAATACACAATCGATCGATACGTGAATATCTTCTTCTTTTTTTTTTTTTTGTTATAAACATTTAAAATCTTGGTCTGAGATGAGTATTCTGAAAACCGTGCGTAGGCGCCGGCTGTAAATTGAATCTGAGCGGTTTCACTTGCGTGACTTTGCCCTTAGTCATGCTGTTTCGATTGATGTTCGTAATCTTTGTACGATGTCGATAATACCAGTACTCGAAGGCCAATGTGAAACAAGCAAAAATAATGCCTAAAAATATGACTACGAACACACCTCCGATATTCTGAATGCTTATACCGTCACTTTGACTGTTCTCTGCATCGCAGTCTTTCCTCTTTGGGTTCTTTTTCCACCACTTGTCCTTTAATTTCTCCAATTTCCTCTTGTTCAATAGTGTCAAAATTCTGCGTCGAAAGAACATTCACGTTAGATTAATATTTGTAAAGTTAATATTTTTATCTAACGCAGAGAAAGGATACATACGCATTGTTAAACGCGTCCTTCAATGGCGATCCTTGTTGAACGGCGATAGCGTAAGGCTTCCTTGAAAAATCCTCGCCTACTTGAACCAGGTCGCAGTTCGTCATAGTAAGGTATTTAATGATCGTTGAATCTCCGATATAAGCGAATTCGTTGTTCGTTCTGAGACGTCGAACTCGTTGTACCGCTTCATCGATGGAGCTCGGGAAACCGGCCTCCTCCATGGCTTGCAACATTTTTGTATACTTGTCACTAACGGGGTAGTCCCACACTGCCAGTTCAGCCCTCTCTATATCCGATAAATTATCATTAAGGCTCATGTTCTTCCAGATGCTGAAATACACAAGATCGACATTCACTCGTCATCCTTTGATCTTAAAAAGAAAAGTGTTTACGTGCTTACGATCTTCGAATCATTCTGATCTGTTCAATTACTTACTAGTAGAACCTCAACTCAATGGCAGCCATTCTTTTGAAGTAAACGTAAGCCGAGGAATTCAACACCGGTGCGTACTGAATCTTATATTGTTTGCTGAGGTCCTCCAACGTCTCGATTGGAATCTCCAGCCTGGACACGGTCAGAAACGCAGCCAAATTCGCCGTGTACGAGGCGATGATTATAAATCCGAACAGCCACCAAGTGGCAGCGACCAGTCGTCCAGACAGATTTTTCGGGGCTTCTCCGCCACCCTGCGGCGTCAACGAGGTCATACAAAACCAGAAACACTCCCTCAAGTTGAACTCCCTTTTCTCGTCGTCGTTCTTGTATTTCTCTCGGTTGTTCTGGTAGCTGTACGGCGACCAACGATCGAAGATCCACAACAGGACACTGGTGAAAAGGTAAGCGGCCAAAATGCAGAACCAGACCTCGCTCTCCAGCACCGTGAGGAATTTAAACAACGAGGTGGTGGTTTTCGTTTTCAACATCATGATGGACAGGCCGACGAGATCGTAGTAAGGCACCGTGAAATCGACTACCCTTTCACGCTCGGCCGTGACCCACAACGAACCAAGAGCGATATCAGCTCGTTTCTCGATCAGCTCCTTCATCATCCCGTTCCAGCTCCCATTCGGACTTAGATTTCCAAATTGTTTGTCCTCGACCTGTCGTATTTCGTACTGAAAATCCACCGTGTCTTGGATCTCGTTCAGCAGGTCGATACAGAAACCGTAGTACTCATTATTGTCTGCGTTGTACATCACAAATGGCGGCTGAAGTATGGTAACTACACGGTAGCTCTTCACCGCCGTGATGTTCATCACGTCGTTGTTCGTTATCTTTGCAATAAAATGCAGATCGGATTAATGAGAAAGATACATAAAAGGATAATGTAAAAATTAAACTACTGAGAGACTGGATTCTTTTAGAGGTCTGGAATGCTTCTGCGAGAATGTTGTGTTTTCTGTGGTAATAAAGCTACGAAGCAATTGTATTTTTATTAGGATAAGTAACGATGATATCTCAGAACAAAAACAGATATTTGATGTGAGACTCGCGGCTGTCAGGACACGATTACGTAGTTGAAGGGTTTCGCGTTACATATTGGATAAACAGGTACATATAGTTGTACGAACTATAGCAAACGTCCATTAGCAAACGCTGTTATCAGCAATAAGAGTAAATAAATGTAACGACCACGTGTCAAGGGTATGACTATCGCGATGGCTGGCTGAATGAGGGTCACGACTAAGAAATTAACTCCGGTATCATTGACAAATGCAATAATTTACAATTTTAATAACTTAATTTCCAGTTTGATCTAATTTTATGATACTGATCTCTTTATCGTAAGGATGTTAAATGCAAGATAACACGATAAATCGAGTAGCCTAAATTTTCGTAATCTAATGTAAATTATTGCTATAGTCATTCGTAATCGAATTAGTCGGTAAAATTGTGAATTTTAAATAGAAATTCAATTAGAAGGTTTTTTTTTTTTAAAAAAAATGTCGGTTTAAAGTAGAAATTTAATTGGAAAGATTTTTTTTAAAAATATTCGTCCTCGCGTTTCTCGCGATTAAAAGAATTAAAGTAATGACAGGAATTACTGCTTTTTTAATGAACGAGACATTCATTTTCATTTCACTACAAGCACGGTGCAATTTGTAGTGATTAACATAGCGTGATATTAAACCAGAGCCGTGGCATTCGATTATCGAGCAGATCCTCATCTTGTGCGTGACTCACACAACACACCATTATTCTCTTTTTTTCGTTGATCAATAGACTGACCTAATTTCGTTCGAAAACGTCACGTGTACTTTTAACCAATTGTTTCGATTAGTTTCACGTGCGAGGAATTTTCTACATTCTACTCTCGCATTTCGAATCAACATTATACATTCTATCAATTCGGAGAAACTCGTCCAACAATTCGCCTGTAACTCATTTCACCAACGATCTATATACGTGTAACAAACTTCCTTTCCACGAGGGAACTTCAATGAGAATGATACTGTCCAAGCTCTTGGAATTTTTGCCAATCGACGAGAAAAACAATCGCTTCGTTACACGAAAGTTGCGAAAGAATTTCAAATTACACGTAAATCGATAAAATAACAAAGAGAGGGGAGGGGAGGAGCGGAGGTGAGGAAAGAAACAAAGAAGAAAAAGAAAGGAAAATATAGAAAGAAAGAGAATCAGCGATACAGTTCGAGAGAGAGAGAGAGAGAGAGAGAGATGTTCTCTCTGTCCTTTCTCTATTCTACTTTTCAATTGTTACCTGCAATGGCGTTGAGATGCTCGCGTTCCAAGACCCACCCTCGACGTCGTTCGAAACAACCCCATCTTTTACATCAATCAAATGAACAGACATGTCGAACTTGGCCTGGTGTTCTCCATTCTTCGATCCCCATTTAATCCCGGCGTAAGTCGGTGTCATATTCTTGTAAGCTTCTTTTAATCTATTGAAAAAGTTCAACTTCCTTTTCGGAGTGTTGGTATTATCGTACTCGTCGCAGGTGATGTGCTTAGGCTCCATTGGCCAATCTCCGTTGTCCAATGCCGATTTCATCGCGTGGACGCCGAGTTGTAGCAGGTCGTAATAGAACGCGGAAGAAATAACCGGTTTCGGCAACGAGGGCTCGGTCGTTGGATTTTTCTTGCTGAATTCTGGCCTCATGAAGAGGGCGCTGATATTTTTACAGTCGCAGTTCGGCGAAACGTTGATCTCCGGCGTCAATAAGAACCAACCGAACTTCTTGCCGGTGAAGTTCGACGCTTCTGCGGTTTCCAGGGCCGCATTGATGACATTCTCGTCACCTAGGACGAAATAGTTCACTATATCCAAGTCCCGTAAGCTGGACAACTGCTTTTTCATTCCCCCTAACTCTGGATCGATTTCGTTGATCACGTGCCTGGTCGCCACGTTCAACAACAGACTCTTGTACTTATGATCCATGACGAAGTTCTGGTCGTACAGAATCGCGGCGTTCGAAATGTTCAGTTGGACGCACAGCTCTCTGATTGCCTGCGGTATCAAATCTGCCGGTGGCATTACTTGAATCAGATATCCTTGCTGGTCCATGTTCAAGTTCCTCCAGTACAGAAGATCCCCTTCTTGACCGTATTGAGCGGATAACGTGGGAATTCCTAGAGCAGCTGTGAATGAGTTAGATATCTTGGCAGCCAAACCGGCCGTCGTCGTGTCCATCACCAAGTCCGGGACTCTGGTCCCACCCTTTCCCACCGCGGAATCCCAAGCACTGCAAATACGATCGAGGGTGCCGTTTACATCGGATTCATTCACTTGCACGCTCCACACTTTGCCTAAATGACCCGGGTACTTTTCCTTGATCGTCTCCAACGCCGATATCACGCTACTGTTTGCAACTTTGTTTGTTTCCTCGTTGATAACGACTGGAAAGTGATTAACAGAAGGAGTTCAGGGTTCTCGGTGATTCGTTTTTAAGATTTGAAGATTTGAAATTTAAGTTTTCGCAAGTTGAAGTTAAAGAATTCGTCGTTCCAGAGTCAAACGTTGAAGGAAACTTGTTTAAAAAGGTTAGGAATCGATCGATTGAGATACTCACAGAGATTAACAGGTCTCGTCCTCGTAGGCACTCGATCGCTCGTCGTATTCTCCTGCCCGTGGACCGCAAACTCCCCGCAAAATCCAAGGTAACCGCACACGGCGATAGCGAATCCCACGAGTCTCATTCCAAACACGTGAAAACCAACTCCGATGATCGTGAATTTTTAAATTTCCACTTTTGCAAAATCTCTGTAGCCTCACCTTGCCGCCCCCTCTCTCTCCCACCTCTTTTTTTTTTTATCAGCCGCCAACTTGCTCGAAAGTTCGTCGAAATGATTCCTCTTGTCGGATAGAGAGAGAGAGAGGGGGGGAGGGAAAAAAAGTGCAGCGTCGAAATTGCAGTTAATTTTCCCAGTAATTGGTCAGTTGGTCGAGTTGGTTTCGATCGCGTACGCGATGCGTCTCGAGGTCGGGATATCGCGTGTGGAAATCGGTCAAGCAACTAAGGCTGGTCTTGAAACCGAAAGCCAGGCTTCCTCTCTGTTTCATCGTGTTTGTCCAACGGTTGCCGCGGGGATGACCTAATCAATTCTTCCTATCAACGCAGTTCGTCTCCTCGTTCGCTTCCGTCAGTTTTTCGACAAAAATTCTCGATCGTCGGCCATCTCGCGCGGTCGCGAGGAAAGTAATCGCGGCGCACGTACGACCTGCCGAGTCACCGCGCGAAGAATTTGCATGTCCGGCATCGCGTGCCGTCAGTTATCGTTATCTCGTAATTGACCACTAGATCGTTAGTTTCCTCTTGTCACGTGTACGTACACATTCGTACACGTCCGTTTGAAGCTTTCATTTCGATATGATATCGATATCCTCGTGGCTGGCGATCGTGATCACTCGTGACGTGTATCGTTCGAAATTGATTCTTTCTCTCTCTTTCTGGAAATTTTTCGTCTTTTTTTTTTAACGCACGAAAATTTTTTTTTTACTCTTGATTTAATTTTCTTTTTTTTTTCTTTATAGTTCTCTCCTTTTTTTTCTCTCTTTCTCTCTGCTGATGAAATCACGTTTCACCGACAACTCGAGCTAGTCGATTGGTGTAAATGCTAAATGAAAATGTCGAGATTTATACCTCATCCCCTAGTGCCACGTTACAACGCGCCACGTGAAGTTGATGAACAAACAAAAGCGTCGAAAGAAAACAACCACTTTGCTTTGATTAACATTTACTTTTCACGCTATTTTTTTTTTTTTCTCTTCTCCCCCTTCAAAAATATTGCTCGTACATTCGCTCGTAAACGTACACGCGCGAAATGAAAAAAACCTGCAAAAATCTCATATTATTGAAGCATTGCTCTTTTTTTCTTTTTTTTTTTTTTTCTACTATTTTCTCTTTTTTTTTTCTTTTTTCTTTTGCAGGACACTCGCGTTTCATTTGTGTTCTGCGTTACCTTTTATGAGGGCTCGATCGTGTTTTCACAAAGAGACCCACTTTTTTTTTTATTCTTCTATCTAACTGATAGCGATACCAGCAGTATACTGAATGCCGAGTATCAGAAGTGAGTGGCGAGCGATACGCCGAGAAGGATATTACGACGACAAATTGTCGAGGTCGCGTTAAAATTCTTATCGCTCTCAAAGGACTTTTGTCCCATCGTTTCTTCTCCAGAGCGTTTAATCTTCGTTCAACTGCCAGATGGCTAATCCTTTAATTAAACATTAAACGAGGCTGCAAACGGTTGAATTACAAATGGCAATTATTCTATCCCATCTCGAGATTACATGATTTTACCCGTGGAGTTCAGATTTACGATAAAGTCATATGTGATCGAGTTCCAAAGGAAAACGACGAAGCGATTTGGATCGTTAAGCTCCATCTTCAATTCCGAACTAACAATGAGGAATTTCTCGCTTCTTGTTGCTACTTGTTTCAAAACATTTCCAACAAACTACTTAGTCCACGCTGAAGAAACACAATCTGAAGCTACACGTTTACATTAGGCAGCTACGCGTTGAAACCAGACCAGATCGTTCAATTAAGAATAGACGAATGGGCTATTTCTGGGTTGAGTCAGTACCGTGTTTACGCGATCGATTTTGAACAGTTTAACCCTTTCGTGAAATATTTCGAAATTCTCAGACATTCTTACTAAATGCAAATTAATTAATACGTGCGTTTGCGAAACAATCGCTGTCGATCAAAAATTGTCTAATGTAAACGAGGCTTTAGAAACACCTCGATCTTGTTTTCAAGAGTCTGTTTATTGCCGGTAGTAAGTTGTCGATGATTCGATCGGAAGCAAGCAGCGACGTTTAATCGGCTGATAATGCAAGTAGTACGAAAGAAATCTGCAGAAACGTTCGTTCTCGAGGAAGACAGATAACATCATCGTTTATTGTGACAAATCTTTATATTCACGAACGAGCTTTATATTCATCGAACGTCATCGAACCTTTACGATTTCTTGCCGAAACTCTCCGCCGATCTGTTTGAGGTAGCAGTTCGTTAGCACGAGATACTTCATGGCGATAGCATCCGCTATAAGAGCGAATTCGTAAGTGCGGTTTACATTGCGGGCCACCTTCACCGCATGCTCCACGCTCGGAACAAATCCCGCGCCTTTCATCGCAAAATACATCGTCGTGAACTTGTCCTCTAACGGATAATCCCACACGACGTAATCGGATCTGTCCCGGTCTGTTGGTGTATTCTCGTCCAACGTCATATGTCTGCAGCACCTAAACGAGCAATTTTCCATTCATCTTGTGTTTGTCTTCAATTTCCTCCCTACCCTTTTTTCTTCTGTGAAAGAAGTCGATCAAACTGACGTTGAATAATTGTGTTCTTTCGGTCGTTCTTGTCTGAACTGTGTTTCTCTAACGTCGGGAAAGGTATCTTTAATTTTATTATAGATTAGAACTTGTAAATCTTCCTAATCTGAGAGTTAAATATATCAAGAATCTTTCCTTTTCATGCTAGAATATCAAAGAATTTTCTTGCTTGCTAAAGTCAAAGAGGCCAAGAGATTGAAATATAAAAAGTTTGTTGATCATTGTGCATACGTATGTCAATGAAGCTTTCTATCTCACGTCGCAACGATCTAATAACGACATTAGGAGTGAATAATTATTATCACCGAATATACAAGAGAGGTGAAATTCACTTTTAAAGTAGCCCTTACCTCTTACCCAGCGGAAACAATTTTCTAGCTTCGTCACTGTTAAAAAATACCCGGGAAAAAAGGCTGAGGAGTAGCGAACTCGATGGTGCTTTCTAAGATCGTCGATGGACTCGATGCTTTCCTCCAGCCGTTCTCGAATCTCATAAGCCAGCGAGATTGAACAGCGGCGACGATGACGAAGTCGAACAGCCACCGAATCCAGGCTCAGGTCGCTATTTTTCCTGATAAATTTTTCGGCAGTTCCCCTCCACCTCCAAGTGAGGAGTGATTGACGTGAACCAGAATCACCCCATCAACGAGGAGAATCGATCGTCCGCCTCGTTCCGATACTTTGCTCGATTGTTCCGGTAGCTAAAGGGCGAGTATCTCTCGAGAATATATAATAGAAATATCGGCAAGAGGAAGGCGAACGCAAAACTTATCCAGACCAGTCGATCTCCAGGATCATTAGGAACTTGAAGGACCGAGACTTGCTTCCTTCTCTTCAGCATCATTATCGTGAAACCGCTCGGCCCCGGGTACGCGACAGTGAAGTTCACTACCTGGATATTGGGACATTGTTCTGTTAAATTTGCAACGGCTCGAACCGACGATCATCGATCGATCGAATTATTCGAATCGAGTGTGTGTACAGTAGAACTTCATTTGTCTGAATTAAAACTTTCGGTCAATGTCTGATTCAACGCCGATCGAATCCACTGGAGTCTAGACTGTTATACGAAGGAAAAATTGCTATTATAGTGAGTAACTTTAATTATAATTCCACGTATCCTATAAGTACATGTATAACGTGGTTTAAAAGTTGGATAGAATCGAAAGATAATGAAATATAAAAATACTGGGAAATTCGTCGTAGATGATGTATTGATGAAAACAACGATGGTGCGACACTGATGACCTAATTTTAAGGGTGAAATGGAAATAATTGAATGGTAAAACAATGATTTCTTAACGCGATACGATCCTCTCAAACTTCGGTTTCATTTTCAATTTTTAAAGATCTTATTGTTAGCCTTGCTGGACTGATCCCACAGCACTGTCCGATTCGTAGAAAAAAAAGTTCAATATTCGGGTTCAAATGCCGGTATTTCTGATCGAAATTCGCGAACGATGCGATATCGTTCGGTAGATCGATGTAATACCTATAAAAAGCGTCGCTGTTACTATTGTACATGACGTACGGTGGAACGATTCGCATTTACCGCTCGATAGATCAGCCTTTCTCTTGGCTTGGCTGCACAGCTTTATGGCCGCGAAATTAGATGGGAACCGCCATCTAATTTTGAGGGAGGGGAGAAATAATCGAACGATTCTTACCGTTCTATAATCTCGTGAGAACGTTACGCTCTATTGCGGCGGCATTCGACTATTCATTTGGCGGAATATTGCTCTCGGATTATAAAATAGAGGATATTTCGCGGATTGTTGAAGAAGGAAGAATCGATCTGAAAACGATCGGGGAATTCGAACACCGTTCGGAAAAACAAAAGCGAGGAGAGACAAAGTTTTTTCAATCGGGTAACTAAAATATTTTCCGGTGTTTTAAATTTCTATGGAATTCAGCGTATGTCGAAACTTCGATGCTTTTGCGAGCAGACGTGTCGATAAACCTGAAAATAAAATCCACGGGCGAGCGAGAGAAAGAAGAGAGAGAGAGAGAGAGAGAGAGAGAGAG